TCTATCATCAAAACTGTAGGAGCCACAGTTTTTGACGGTTTGTGGGCGTTAGAGTGGGCGTGGCACCTTGCTGAATCAAACTTGCGCTGCGTAAGGAGCTCAGGAATCTGCACGCCAAATATCAATATAGTTTCCGGGATCTCAGTGAATCGTCTAGTGATGCTGCCCAAGAATATATATACTTAATGGGGTCGGAAACGTCTCCTTCACTGCGTTGCAGTGACTAACAACGAACAAAATGTTGCAAAATAGAACATAAAAAAATATCAAAAACTTAATACACAAAAATAAAAATTAAGATAAAAAAATTGAATTGTCATATGTAAGAAATTTAAAAAATATTTTAGCATAACTTCTAATATGAGGACCAATAAAAAAAATGGAAAGTAGCTCCTGCAGCAAAAACGGCTTGACTTAAAAGTCTAAAAAACAGAAATTCGGAATTAAGTTTAGTTTAAATTGGTACAATAAGCGAGTCCAAACTGCCCCAAAATTTCAATTTTCTTTTTCTTTCAATTTTTTTTTCCATTAGAAAATCTTTTTCTTTGCTCCATGTGTTTTAGCTGAACGTTAAATCTTAAAATATCGGTGTAGCTACTGAAACCGGTATAAGCTGATTCCGGGGTTTATTTTTTTAATATAAATGTAAACTTACCCCGATTTAATTTATTTGCCCTTTCATTACTAAAAGTTAACTAACTATAAGTAAACTAATAACCCAATAACACAATAACTCAACCCCAGTGTAAATAGTCTGTTTGTAATGGTCGTCATTCTGGATTGAATGCTCGGCTATCATTTTGCAGCAAGAGAAACCAAAACCAATAGTTTTATTAAACCCCTATTAGTGTATAATTTAAGGCAGCATAGGGTAATCTTAGCTTAGCGTTTTCGTATCAGCTGCATTGTTCAGCGCCGTTAACTTGTTTCAATATTTCCATGACGTTCCAAGAAATAACAAGGAAGAACGCTATAGTCGAGTACCTCGACTATCAGATACCCGTTACTCAGCTTTATGGAGATATGCAAGCAGCAAAGCGAGATTAAAATGCGCCACCTACCGGCGGTATACAGATTTAAGCGTTATGGGCGTTAGAGTGGGCGTGGCAAATTTTTTTGGATCAATCGATAGGTATCGACGAGACCAATACATTTCAGTTAAAATTTTTTATCTAGCATGAAAATTGTGGGCGTCACAGGTTTTCGCGGTTTGTGGGCGTTAAAGTGGGCGTGGCAAACTTTTTTTTGGGTCAATCGATAGGTATTGATGAGAACAATACATTTCAGTTAAAATTTTTATTCTAGCATCAAAACTGTAGGAGCCACAGTTTTGGGCGGTTTGTGGGCGTTAGAGTGGGCGTGGCACTGTGCCGAAACAAACTTGCGCTGCGTAAGAAGCTCAGGAATCTGCACGCCAAATCTCAATAGCCTAGCTCCCATAGTTTCCGAGATCTCAGCGTTCATCCGGACGGACAGACAGACGGACAGACGGACAGACGGACATGGCTAGATCGACTCGGCTAGTGATCCTGATCAAGAATATATATACTTTGTGGGGTCGGAAACGCTTCCTTCTGCCTGTTACATACTTTCCGACGAATCTAGTATACCCTTTTACTCTACGAGTAACGGGTATAAAAACTTGGGTGTTTGGAAATGTTCGGTATATAAACGCCCACCTGGTTGCAATCATTTACTGTGTTTATGCTAAGGGTTTCATGATTTATGGTTTATGCGACGTGGCCGAATTCATGCATTTTATCAATCTCAGCTGACAGAGATGCCGAACCGGTGGAAAAAGGTGTGAGCGATAATTAAACCGAATATTTTTTTGATTCGCATGAAATAATCTTGCTAATATTAAAGATAAAGTGTGTGCAAGCCAGTATAACAGTTTTTCTAACGTCAAAATAAAAGATGAAAACTAGTTTTCATTGGCACTGAATTGAAAAATAATTTGTATAATTGTATAGAGTTACCGGAGTTTCAGATTGAACTCATAGTCAACTTTCGTGTGTTGTCGAATTCATGAAACGGTGTTTATGCACACACGAATCGGACCATTTCCTGAAATGAAAGCGTGAAATGGCCATCGCATAAACGCAGTAATTATCTTTCACAACCCGCAAAAGTATTCGTATCAGATCTTCGTCTAAGTGATCTTAAAACGCCACAAGGTTAAGTTCGAAGCGCCATTGACAAAGTCTATCACGCCATTTAAGTTGCACAAAACCCAAACCATGGTCGTTTTTGCATAAGTGAAAGAGAATATTCCTATTGGATGTGGCCGATTGCAGTCCGTTCGTGATTGGCATTACCTCGTGTGCCCCAAAAACGTGCTGGATAGTGAAAACCCTTTCGGCAGTTCTTTTCCGCTACTGCTTTAATTAAACTTCCTAGGAAAACTGTTAGATCACAGGTATAGGCCACCTCTGAAGTATACCCGTACCCTAAATCAGCTTTCTTGGCAGTTCGAGGGCTGCCGCTTGCCCAAGCTCCAATACGTCGGCAGCCTGTTAACGCTGGAAGGCCTAAGCCAACCATCTCTTGAGCCAGTAGTAGTCGTCCCGCGTAGGACCCACCTTGGATTTGATGGTTTGGATGATATCAAGAGCACAACATGCCCTTGTTCTATATTTGGAATTCCCTTTTTCCATTTATATCTTTGCTGCAGTGTGTAAAGATATTCGTCCTTCAACTTCACTCGAAAATATCTTTTCACTTTTTGAACTAGTATCCACCTATAGTCTACCAATTTTCTCATTGTCTTGGATTGGTTCAATCACATCTAATAGTGGTCTACCTATTCAAAAATTACAGGGTGTTAAAACTTCATTATCCTCCCCGTAGTATATAATGCTCTTTAACTTAACAATGCTTTTATCTGACATAACAGTCCTTAAATGTCTTCGTAAGTCAAATTATTATCCCCAACTGGATTGAATTTAACACATAAAATACCACTGCATTTTGTCGCTCTTAATTTCTGAAAGTACTATACTAGTATGTTTAATGGCTTCTAGAAATTCTTCATTCAACTTCCGAGCAGCACCTACCATATTAGTACCATTATCCGTAAATATTTTAGTTCATTTCGCCTTTCTAAATATAATTATTTTTAATGCTGCTACAAATGCATGGAAAGTTAAGTCACTAACAGCTTCTAAGTGAATGACTTTAGTAGCCATACACACAAACACTGAAATATAACCTTTAAATGTCGTTCGCTTCCGCTCCAATTTTTGAAAACTTGAATATTTTTCAAGTAATTAAGACATGTTGTTCCTGTGCTCGTGATTACAGCACTAACAGCTGTATCGCCATTTTGTTTCAGTTGAATATATGTCAATTTTTCTTTAGACATTAAAAGCAATTTTGGCCCATTCCACCAAATTGAGCAATCTTTTGATTTGGTGCATAAATACCTCTGGAAACAATGTTTGTCGGGTTATCTTCCGATTTCACATGACACCACGCTATGTCTATTAATATTTTGATATCATACGCTGTACGTCTAATAAATGTATCATTGCAGTTCCGATTGCTTATCCAAGTTAGCTTTTTCGCAAGCATCTGCAAAAACGTGATGCTGAACAGCAATATTTATATGTGCTTTTATTCATCTTGGAGTCCTAATATTTTAAAAATATTTTAATTTTTCTTCGTACAACATCCACTTGTTTAAATTATTCACAACTAGTTCAGGGTCCGAGTTATTTTTCACTAACTAAAGCCCTTGCATTATTAATTTCTAAACAATTGTAACCGATAATAGCCATTCTAATGGATCGTATATTTTGGGTTCGATAATACTATTATTTTACTTATGCAAATTAAACGCAAAACTAAAATTCATCCATAAAAGGTTCTCATTGAAGCCCTCAGTCTCTGCAATGCTTATTGTTTTGTATTTTTCAGCATTTTCGACATTTTCAATAATTTTATGATGATTCGAAATCCATTTTATTTTCTTTTTTTAAATTCATCCCTACTTTTCCTAACTCCAATGAGACCCCTTTAATTATTTATGTGGATTCTTCAATGCTATCTGACCCTGTCATCAAATCGTACATACAAAAATCATTTCTTATAACTCCACTGATTAGCAGATTTTAACATTTATCTCCTATATCCTCTAGCAATTTTTAGCAGTACCATAGGTAACTGTAGAGGAGGAAAGGTTAAGGTGGCGAACTCGTCAAATCTAAGTCAATAAGTCATTTTGACCTCAAGTAAAAAATTCCAAATAAGTTTAGTCGATTTCTTTTATCGTGCCGACAATGTATTACCAATAACATTATAACAAATTCTCGTAATTTGTTCGAGAGATAATTTTGACTGAATATGCTAGGCAAAAATTAAAATACCTATTCAATTTCTAAGAGCTTCAGCAGTGCCAGATCAAAGAATTGTGGAAAACCAAGTCAGGTAAATATATTCACGTACTAACAAGATTTTTAGCAACCGGTATTGGTACTTTGTGTTTTATTCTTTTGCGCCTTATGAAAGGGGAAACAGTACCTTCTAGGGTATCGTCCCGAAAATTTTGAAGGGTATAAAGATTTTGGTATTTGCTGACCTTCAATCCTTATGTTTCTTTTCTACAGCCAATAGCTTAAAAAACTAATTTTTTTTGTCGAATTTTGTGAGCTCAGAACTGAAGTAGACATATTTTTAAGTGAAGAGTTGAATTTGTATTCAGATCCCCCATGTATTTTTACAGCAAGTCGTAGAATATCGCATTTTATTTGTATATCAAAACACTCAACCAAAGGGCCATAGCTGACCGCGCAGTAGTTTCGTGGTCCATCGAGGATAACTTTTGCGTAAAATTTGATGATTATAACCGTTAACTGGAGTGCAGGGGTCCCACCTCCCTCCTGCCAACGGTTATGTCAACTTACTCGTTCTTGATCTACTCAGATCTGTTACAACTTTTTTTCAATTAATTTTAGTTATAGTTAATATATAGTACAAAAATACATTCTCTCTTATTTTAGGCGAGCAAGTTTGATTTTGACAATTTTGTCACTCTACTATTGCCATCTGTGGAGAACAACCCGTTAGACGGCGATGGTCTTAACACATTTAAAATGATGCTGATAGAGACGGGCCCAAAACTACTGGCGGAGCACATAACCCGCATCGACATCGCCCTATTTTTGGAGGAGCCATCAAACGAGGAGAACTACTATTTGAGCTGCTCGGGTCTGGAGCTGCTGACTCTCCCCCACGGTAAGCTTTTCCGTGAGGATATAATCGAGCGGACACAGTGCATTAAGCTGATGGTAGCCGTGACGATACTCACCTGTCAAACGGATCTGGACCGTGCACAACTGCTCAGTAAATGGATTCAGGTAGCAGTGGAGACTAAAACAGCCCTAGGAAATCTGTTTGCTTTCTGTGCCATCATGTTGGGATTGTGCATGCACCAGGTAAAACTATAAAGGAACGCTATAGTCGAGAGCCTCGACTATCACAAACCTCTTACGCAGCTAAACAATATTACATTTTTACTAATAGTCCGATTAAAAGAATGGTTGCCATGATGGAAGGTATCGTACTCTCTATAAGTTTTAAAAGTCAATTTTCGGTTTGGGCTGAGGGGACCATAATTATGTGCTATAGAGGGTGTTGTGTTAAAACAGTAAACGAAATATAAAAGTTAAACGTCCCAATCTGTTTTGTCAACAGATATATAGGAACGAATGTATTCGTTAAAGGTTCTGTGGCTTCTTTCTACTGATCCAACTGTCTGGTTGTGGTGTGCCGCAGACGTTGTATTGTCTATTTCTAAGTATTTGCAAAGTTTATCTATAATTGAATTTTTGTATTCTGTTCCCATGTCCATATTGAACGTCTTAATTGGACCGTACTTCAGAATAAAAGATTCAAATATAGCTTTTGCAATAGTTGTTGCGTTATTACTTGCAACTGGGATGGCTACTAAATATTTCGTAAGATCACATATTAAAGTGACTACGTATTCGTTGCCATTTTCTGTTCCTGGCAACGGACGGATTGTGTCCACTATCACTCTATCAAAAGCATTAGATCGTGTATCTGTTATGGTTAATGGAGTTTGAGTATGAATTCTAGCTTTTGATTTTTGTCAAATATTACATTTACGAAATAGGACTCGTTAAGTAAAAGAATACATATTTATTTTACTTAACGAGTCATATTTCTCCAATAGTAAATAATGTCTTTTTTTTAATTTGCCTATGCCTGCATGATCTCCTTGTCGTCATGATATGTAAACAGTATCGCTTCTTGGTCTTTTTCTGTTTCTATGATTGGTCACCGGCTTAAGTAGCGCTACCATTAATGTGTTCAATATTATATTGCCCATATTTTTGAAAGATTAAATTAAAATTACTGCAAGTGTCTTTTTGCTCGGTGCCAATTTGAGTTGGCTTTTCCTGTGTATACCGGCCTCTTTTTAAGCTTGTGGAAGAAGTTACCTAAATCGAGAGTTCCATTGGTGTACAGATCGCTAACATCAATTCTTGCTATCCCTTTTTTTCCATGTTTAAAGAAACATTGATTTTTCGTTATTAGCAAGGCCACAACTTCCCGTACATCGTCATTACATATGACATCATATAAGTTGGGCTTAGAAGCGTCAAGAGTTTGTTTAGAGAAATCTTCTTGTTTCTCTCCTGCGCAGGAATTTTTCTGTTTACTTTGGTAGGCACCTAGTGACTTTCAGGACTTTAATATGTAGTTTCAGATTATTCTTTCTCAAATGCATTGGTTAAGTTTTAAATCATGTGTTGTTCTACGAGGGCAGCCCGATAAGTACTTAGCCTCAGCGCCCGATGGCGTCACTATCGCAAGAGAAATTTACTATCGTGTAGTATATTCTCGTAGACGTCTACTTTCGAAATTCCAGCAGAATCGGACCCGTAGGTATACCCGTTACACGTAGAGTAAAAGGGTATACTAGATTCGTCGGAAAGTATGTAACAGGCAGAAGGAAGTATATATATTCTTGATCAGGATCACTAGCCGAGTCGATCTAGCCATGTCCGTCTGTCCGTCTGTTTGTCTGTCCGGATGAACGCTGAGATCTCGGAAACTATAAGAGCTAGGCTATTGAGATTTGGCGTGCAGATTTCTGAGCTTCTTACGCAGCGCAAGTTTGTTTCAGCAATGTGCCACGCCCACTCCTACGCCCACAAACCGCCCAAAGCTGTGGCTCCTACAGTTTTGATGCTAGAATAAAAATGTATTGTTCTTATCAATACCTATCGATTGACCCAAAAAAAAGTTTGCCACGCCCACTCTAACGCCCAAAAACCGCCCAAACCTGTGACGCCCATAGTTTTCATGCTAGATAAAAAATTTAAACTGAAATGTATTGGTGTCGTCAATACCTATCGATTGATCCAAATTTGCTAAGCCCACTCTAACGCCCATAACGCTTAAATCTGTCTACCGCCGGCGTATTTTAATCTCGCTTTGCTGCTTGCATATCTCTATTTTCCTTTGGTCCCTTTAGCTGAGTAACGGGTATCTGATAGTCGAGGTACTCGACTATAGCGTTCCTCCTTGTTTTGTTTTGACTACGTGTGGAATCGGACGTGTCCGCGGATTTTAGAAAAATGGAGAAAGAAGAAATCAAAGAGCGCTTGGATGCTGTGTACCGAGACTCTTCTCCTTCGATGGCGACCGTCAAAAATTGGTTTAACGAGTTTCAACGTGGTTTCACGTCGGTTTTTGATGAGCCACGCCCAGGTGCCCCGAAAACGGTTTTCGGTCTGGGCCAAACCGTAAGAGCTAAACTTATGGAAAACAGATGGGGGTGCCCTTAAAAATGAGTTTTTGAAGTTCGGCTCCAAAGGACTTCCAGAACCGCTTAAAGCTCGTGAAATTCTGGTTGGAAAATATAATAACACCCACAGTTTTGATTTTTGCTTGTGATTTATTTGGGGAAAGCTTTGAAACCCCAGCTGATGAGCCCCTGTAACAGGTTTGAAGTTTCCATAGAAATCATCCATATGATATCTTTTTGGTCTAAATATTTATTTAGAGAGCGACTCTACAGGTCGCTTCTCTGGATCTTGCTCGAATGATTGATATGTAAAAATTGTTGCTTAAATGAAGCCTTAAATCGAAGGGCAGTGCTGCTGCTGAGAACAGCAGCAAAGCGGCTGCATTTTATATAATTTATATATATTTATGAGGAGAATGTTATGTAAGCATATATTATTTATATATTCATATACAGTTGCGGCAACAAAAATAGCACCAAAGTGTGGGCAATTTTTATTTGTGTACAAAATGGTCATTTTTTGCAATATTTTTCTTCTGTGTGTAAGGGTAAGTAGGTTTACATATCGTTTAACTAAAGTAAAAATGGTTGTGGGCGTAATGCGAATGGTTTTTAAAACTTCGATAGATTTATGAAAAAAGTAGCATAATTATGCGGCAACAAAAATAGCACTATTAACGGTTTTTGGGTATAAAACTTCATTTGCTCAGATTTGTTGGCTGTTTTTCGTTTTGTTGTATTAAGAATAAGTACTACTAAGTGAATTGGTAAAATAATGCATAAAATAGTGTTCCCAATGGGTCATTTAGCGCGCTGTAATGATACAGATAGAAGGACATTTAAAAAGCTAATTTATAAAGGCAATGCAAAAGATAAGTTAAGTTGAATCGTTGAATTCTTTAAAATAATGATTAGTAGTTACCTAAAACAAGAACACAAAAGAATAGCACGCAGTACGAAAGCCGCAATGACCCCATAACTGTTAAAAAGTCATTTGCATGAATGCAAGTAGGTCCCGTTTTAGGCGCCTATCAAGTCGCTTTTTTTTTTTTAATATTTGTAAGTACATAAAAAGTTGGATATAATGTACATAAAAATCAATTATGCGCTTGACGTCCAAAAAAAAAATCTCCCTAGACTGCAGAGCATGGGTGAATTTGAAGGGCGAGTTTTAAATAAGGCCCACAATAAAAGGAACACTCTTATATGGTCTGGCGGCTGAAAATTGCTCATGTTTAGATGAAAAAGACTTTAAATTCACATCAGGTAACCTACATATCCAAAATTGAGTCCCCATTTCACATTTGCAAAGAATAATAATGGTGAAGCAAGTATAATGGTATGGGCATATTCTCGTACTATAATGTTGGTACCATATCATAATGTAAACCCATACAGGATCAACATGTTCACCTTGATAGCTCAGAAATTGTGATGCAATTTTATTCGTAATACAAAACTAATTTATTTCCGAAGCTTTACCACGGTTATAACCCAAAAAAAATCAGTCAGAAAGTCGTACAAAGTTTTAAAACCCTTAAGCTAAATGGTATAATGGGGACCTTACAAGCCCCAGAACTAAAACACATCGAAAATCTTTGCAGAAATGTTAAAAACTATGTTTTTAATGCAAAACCGAAGAAAAAAAACTGCCCTCGAGCTATTTTGAAAGAGCCAGACAACAATTTTGCCAAGGGAAGATTCTGGTGTCTAGTGACGTCAAGGTCGGTCGTTGTTGTTGTTGTTGTTGCAGCCCAAGCTTTAGAACAATATTTTTTTACCTTAAGGTGTATGAAATCATACATTTCAATCAAAAAAAATTTTCAAATCGCGTTATTTTTAAGTTTTTTAAGTTTTTTATTTAAGTGGTGCTATTTTTGTTGCCGCATAACTTTGCTACTTTTTTGATAAATGTATCGAAATTTTAAAAACCATCCGTATTGTGGGCGTAACCACTTTTATTTTAGTTAATAGATATGTAACCCTACTTACCCTTACAAACAGAATAAAAATATTGCAAAAAATTACCATTCTGTAGCACAAAGAAGAATTGCCTACACACTGGTGCTATTTTTGTTGCCGCAGCTGTATGTGACTGTAGCCGGGCAGCATAAGAATGCTGACCATGCATTTATTCCTTATGCGCCTTAATGTAGGATCATATAACACTTGAACTTAAGTCAAGTGTTTATGAACACATTGCAACAAAGTATCACAGTGTTTTAGTTGATATTATTTATTACTGTACTTAAGTACAGTGGTCATTGGATATAAGCAGTGCTACATACACTACATCTCCCTCTTTTTGAAAAATAACGTAATTTTATGAAGTTTTTTTAATTTTTGTTTTTTTTGTGCCGCTTATATTTATTTTAAAATACCATTTATAAAGTATATATGTAAAAATTTTTTTTTTATATTTTTAAGTTTTATTTTTTGTTGAAATGGCCAAATCTTTAAACATATACATAATTAAATGTCTGTACCATAAGTGTTTTATAAAAAAAACTTTATTTAATTTACTCTTACACTGGGTACAATAATTTGGGTTGGAAGAACACCGACTTGCTGTTGCTTGGGTCCCGAAATCTAAGTACCCTGAAGTGTGGGAACGTGCCGATAGTCTGAACAGCGGCTCGTTCTAATTGTTTATTCTATAAACTGTGGTTTTTTGATTCATGGTAATTTTCCTCTGGCTTGCTTATAGTTCGGTAATTTTCCGTTGGCTTGTTAACAATAAAATCTGGGTTCTTATTTCTTAGAGGGTGTCTTGAGGGTGACTGCGTAATGTGAGCATGTATGTGAAGGTGTGTGGACATGTACATAGGAGTATGTGCCCTGCAGTTCCACAATTGAGTTAAGCGCCCAATCATCACGAAGCCGACTGCGACGTCGGCAGAGAAGCCAGCGACGCCGGCAGAGCTGAGCGCAACGGCGGCAAAGCGACGCGCTCTCAGTCGGGTCCGCAAAGAGAACGCACAAAAAGTAATTTTGGGCTCTCCCTCTCTCGCCATGTCTCAGACGGAAAAGTGCGTGTGATGGGAAGGAGGCCCAGCAACTAAAATATATAGACTTTTGTGCACCCTTGCCTTTTGAATAATGCGACATTTGTTCGTAAATGATAAAACAACCATTTAAAATAGAAGGTTTCTGTTTTAAAATATTTGTATTTCTTAAACAAATTTATAGGTTTATTAATATTATTTAATAATATGTAAAGTTTTAAGAATATATTTTTATAAACCGATTTGCATAGTCGGATATGTCTATAAATACCCTGCTTTTATGTGCAAGATGCATAGACCAAACGGGACATGCCAAAAAAACAGAACAACAACGGATTAGCGGAATCGTTGTTGTTGTTGCTTGTTGTTTTTCTGGGAGGCACGCGACTTTTTTCGTCTTTTTCACTTGGGTTTACTTATGTGAAGGAGTTAGAATTGCACACAATTAAGGTAGTTAAATAAAATAAACCAGTGGTTTAAAAGTGATACCTATACGATTCCCAGGTAAGTCTGTCGCAGACCAATATTTATTTAATCAGTGAGAGTAAAAACATGTTAAAGTATATTGAAAAAATGAAAAATAGAAGATTGCCAAAAAAACACGTGGCGGAAAAAAATAGCTGTGAAAAATATTAATTTTTGACGTGAAAAACAACAAACGATGCATATAAATAAACAAATGAATGAATCTGTGAAAAAATTTGAAAATCTTATTGAGTGCTAAGTTCCTAGGGACCAAAAATAAGAGATGTTTGTTTTTATAACTTATGATTTTTTGTATTAATAACATTAAAGCACAATTTTTATTTTTGTGTAAGTAAACAAACATGGCTATTTAAATAAAAATCTCAAACATCTCTAATTTTCCGTCCCTGGAAAAGTGGTATTTTTTCCGCATCTGCAAAATAAATAAATGATTTAATAAATAATAAAAAAAAATACATAAATAATTTTTTACAACAAAATAAAATAAATCAAGTGACCGCAAACAAAAGTTTGCAAATTTCTTCTCGATATTTTTTTAATTTTCTTTATATTTTTAGACAAGGCTGATGGTAAATCTATAAAAAAATGGAAGGCTAAGTCGTTCCATCGTAAGCATATTATCCGAGGAACTTGTTCTGTCCCACAACTTGGAGGGGGGGCAAAACAAGAAGAGGCTCAGACTACCCAAATTTCGCCCGTGCCTTATTAAGTAAGTTTTTGTTGAGGCTGAAAACTATTGTTTGTAAGTTTAATTTTTAAAAGACTTCTGGGATTTTTACATTGAATGCCAAAGATAACATTTCTTTTATTATAAATAAATCTTACAAATAACGATTACTTTCGGTCACTCGTTTTTATTCTCGTCTTGTTTTATTTTTAAAACTAATTTTTTTCTAATACTAGATGCAATCGCCCTGGTGGATCCCTCGGAACCTCCCGAAAAGGCGCTGCAGAAGGCAATGCGGTGCGTTAAAAACTTGAGTTGTACCAAAAAAAGGCAACGCCGGCACCAGATGCTGAGAAGGAGGTGCCAGCGACTCCGATAACACCGGAAACCCCCGAGCTCAAATTTTAAAATAAACAAATAAAAATAAAAATTACAACTGAAATTTTATTTGCTGCTAAGCGCTCAACGTGTGCTGAATGTGCGCTTTTTCGCTACTTGAATGAGCGCTCAATGTGTGCTGAATGTGCGCTTTTTCGCTGCTTGAATGAGCGCTCAACGTGTGCTGAATGTGTGCTTTTTCCGCTGCTTAATCGAGCGCTCAACATGTGCTGAACGTGTGCTTTTTCTGCTGCTCAAAAAAGCGCTCAAAAGGGTGCTCAAAAAAGCGCTCAATGCGTGCTATCTTATGAGCACTGATGAACCCTAGGACATGCCTATGTTAATTTAAGCACTTAGTTCCATACAAATTGTGCGCTCATTGAGCGCTCAGTGATGAGCTTTTTGCAGTGATTGAGTGCTCAATAAGCGCTGAATGGTACTGCAGGGTGGTACTATGGATATGTCACTCCCCCATCCACCCACATCACATTTTCTTCTATGTTAATCTGATTGGGTAGATCGTATGCAATTTCTGTGCCCTTTGGTGTTTCTTCCTTTGATTTTACATATTTTACAATAAGTTTACTTGTGATGCTCTTAAACTTATACCATAAATACAATAGAATGCTTATAGTAATGATTAAAAAGGTTGTTAAAGTAATTATTTGAAATACATTATAATATTTTGTATGTGATTCTATTATTTATTTTTTTTAATATAGGACAATGGTTCCAATTTTGTGTTATTATTATTTATGTAATCACTCTGTGTGTAATCTAACATTGAATTTGAAAGAGTGAATTCATCTAATTGTCTTGAACAATTAAGGATTTTAACGAGGTTACTTCCGACTATAGGAATTCCTTTATTAATGCAATTTTGATTCAGCAATGTTTTAGGGATATTCCATGTCAGTAAAATATTGGGTTCAAGATAATAATTTTGCAAATTTTTATAAGTTTTAGTGTATTTGCATTCAGTGCTTTCCTGTCTAATTCTTACATTTATACAATCATCAATTACAATGTTCCCTACTTCTTTATTAAATATTTTATCTTCATATAGGAAATATTTATAAAGTATATTTTCTGTTAGAATGTTGTTATTTTCATCGGGATAAGGAATACTTTCAAAAACGGGAGATTTAACTATCTCTGAAGGAATGTGGGAAATAATCAAAATTTCATTTGTGTTTGCTTTAAGCCAAGTGGAAGTTTTGATTTTTAACAATTTCTCAGGGCTCATATTTTTTAAATAATCGTGTTTTAATAGTCTTGGATAAAATAGTCCTAATCTTGTCCTTTGCATTATAAATTCGATATCTTATACATATTCTGTAAAGTGTTGTAAGTTAAATATTAAAACGTTAACTGGTTGATCTTTTTTTTCGTTTTTCTTTTAGTTTGTTAGTTTTTTTGATTCCGTTATTTATGACATCGATAATCATATGTAAATCAGTGTTTTGAACGCTAGTATCTAACAAATTATTACATTGGTCTTACATTTAGCGCGATTTTTCTTAGATCTAGGGTTAATTTTCTTAAATCTTGGCCGATTTTTCTGTTTTAAAGGCAAATACCCTTAACATATGAAAACAAATTAAGCATCAACGACGGTATTTCTTGAAATTATGGTGAAGCGCCCTAAAAACAAGAGCAAGTGCCCTAAATATTAAAACTAATTTTTATAAAAAAAACGTGTTTGGACATGTTTGCTGGTTCTCAGCAAACATTATCTGCGGTACTTTTTCCGGGAATTTTGACTTAGTGTCCTTTTTTACTATAATTTGAGAGGGTGAGAAGGGCAAGGTTGTTATTTGGCCGCTCCACGCACGTTGGAAAACTGCTAATTAGAGTCATACGAACTGAAAGTAGTCATTAAACAGAATCAGGGAAATAAGATAAATATAAAACAACTTACTTCTTGAGAAAAATCTTCGTGGTCGCAGCGAGAATCGAACTCACGACCGCTGGGATCGCAGTCGAGAGCACTACCGCTGCACCAAAGACGCATCGCGTTAGACGACGCGCAAAAAGGTTCCATGTCTCTATTTGTTCTAAGAACAAATTCTCAATTTAATTATAAGAAGTTGTCTCACTAATGACAACATATTATGATTTATTTTACCCAATTAGACTTAATCATTAAAAACTATTATTTTAATGTAATATACATTTTTTTTATTTGTTATTTTGACGTGTTCAAAAATTTTGTTTGCCTCTGCACACAAAATTATTTATTTATTTATTCAACAAATTAAGCTTATCATACAATGTTAAACTTAATACTAAATTTCCGAGCACTGGCTGCGGAGGCCTTCGACTCTGACTGTAACTAATCTGCTGTGTTTAAATCTGTACATGCGGTTTTTTATGGGCTTAGTTTGTTATTATATTGCTAGCTTTGATTTACTTATAAACTCGTACATTTTTTTAATATTTTCTACGGGTGGGCAACCGAGGATTTGGGAAGGGGGCTGTGAGCTGAACAGGTGGGCTCTAATATTGGCCAGTCCAGGGCAATTGTCTAAAAGGTGGTCGGTGTTAGGGATTCCTCCGCAGAGACTGCAGATCGGATTGTGTATGCCTTTTAATAGGTGTTCGTGTGTGTGTTTGGTGTGTCCTATACGAAGCCGGATAAAGGTACTGCATTGTCGTCTCCCAATTGCCGCTGGGAGAGGTATTTTTGTACATGTGGGATTAAATTTGCGGTATCTATGGGTGAAAGTGGACCATTCCTCCATCTTTTGGTTTTCCAAGTTGCGATCTATTAGCTTGTGTATGTCCTTGCTGTTTATTGGAGTGAAAATGAATGTTGATGAGTGGCCAATGTTGTGGGCTTCCTGGTCAGCGTCTTCGTTACCCTTTATGCCTTGATGGCTTGGGACCCAAAAGAGTGTTATTTTTTTGGATGTTCTTTTGTTAGTCTTTGTATCTCTCTTATGGTGGGATCGCGATACTCGGGGTTATTTATTGCCAGGAGTGACGACAGACTGTCAGTGCACAGAACAAACTCTCCGTTTTTACTGGTGGCAAAGCGGCAGGCTAGTAATATAGCCATAGCTTCTGCCACGAATATAGAATTGTAGAGGGGGAGCGCCCCTCCCGCTAAGATGGTGTTGTTAGCGTCGATAACTGCGAAAGTGGTTGATTCCAAAGTTTTGGATCCGTCAGTAAAAGGCCAATGTTTTTCACCGAGGAGTTCTTTTTCGTTTTAAAAGCGGGTGCGATGAACAGAGCTGGGAGTATGATTTTTTGTGGAGATATGCAGTTTGGTGTTGATGTTTGGTTGGTTCCGAGACCAGGGTGGAGATGGCCCGGACGATCTAAATCTGTTTGGTGGGGGTAGGTCCAATTTCTTGCTAAAGCTGGCGCATATCCGGAGAGTAGAGGGATATTTGTATCTCCTTCTTTCTTTAAAAATGTTTTTGAAGTCGTCGGCTAATAACCGATTTGGAGTGGTATATAATTTTGGTAAGAGTCGGGTTGTAGCTTTTTTTATCCTGTGGGTGATGCTGGGTAGTCCGGACTCCGCTAGAGTGCACTTGGTCGGAGAGGTCGGAAAGGCGTAGATAGATCTGGGTACAGCTGCGTGGTATGGTGGTTGAATACTCTTGATATTGGAGGCTGCAGTCCAGCCGAATATCGGGAGCCCGTAATCTATTTTTGAGAGTATTAATGCCCTTGTTATGTTAGTTAAAGTATTTATATGTACATGAGAGTATTTTGAGCTTAAAAATTTAATTATATTGAGACGAGACTCTAACTGCTTTCTAAGTCTTAGGCAGTGTTCTTTAAATGTAAGCCTAGAGTCGAAGGTAATTCCTAAGATTTTTAAATGATTGGTTTGTTGAATGACTTTGTTTTTAAATACAATTTCGGGAAAGTTGCAATTTTGTTTTCGGCAAATGTGTAGGACCTGACATTTTCTAATGGAAAGAGATGCCCCAGATGAAGCGCCCCACTGTTCCAGTTCGTCCAGAACGTTTGAGAAGGTATCTTTAACGGAATTGAGATCTTTCTTGTTGGTGTAAATAAATGCGTCATCAGCATACAATAAAATGGAAATGTCTTTGTGTCTGTTGAAAATTGAAGATATTTGCTCAAAAGCAATCATAAAGAGTACCACCGAAAGTGGAGAGCCCTGAGGAATGCCATTGTGGAGCTTATGTAGATTTGATGTTGAGTTATTGACTCTGACCCTGAAAGTTCTGTTGGTCATGAAATGGGACGGAAGCTATTAATTTCTGGGCTTGTTTTGTTTGGTTTAGGTATGGGGATTACCGTGGCCGACTTCCAGGTATGTGGATAGGATCCTGTTTGGAGCATTGTGTTAAAGACCTCTAAAAGTTTATCTTTAACCGCTGGTGGTAGGTTTTTAAGCATGGGATACGAAATTCTGTCAAAGCCGGGACTTTTGCCCTTTGCCGTTTGAATTGCGATTTCTAATTCCAGCTTTGTAAAATTTAAGTCAAGTTGCCTCGAGGAAAGAGATGTGGAAATGGGTTGGTAGGTGTGGTTTAAATAGGTTTGCTTAGATTGACAGTACTGCTGAGAGAAGCTATGGTCGGCCAAGTACTCTGACCAACAATCTCCAAATAGCTCTGCAATTTTCTTTGGACAGGTAAGGAGACCAGTTTCCGTTTTTAAATATTTTATAGGGGTGGGGCGTACCCCAGCTAGGCGCTTGACATCGGACCATATCTTTTTGGGGGTAGTGAAAGGTGAGATTCGGGAAGTGAAGTTTTGAAAGCAGGTGCGTTTGGCAGCTAGTACAGCCTTTCTGAAGCAAGAGTTGGCTCTTTTGCAGAGTAAAAGATTCGGAATTGTAAGGTCCGATTTGTACTTGTGAAAGAGATCTTGTTTTTCGTCCCTAAGCTCCTGGAGAGAATTGTTCCACCAGGGGACTTTGGCCTTGTGTGCTGCAGCTTGCCGTCGCCCTTATACATTTAGTAATTTGGGC